TTTATGAAAATTCTATATTTTTTTGTCAAATGTTGCATATTTTCAGTAAATTTTACATTTTTTTGGTCAAATATTTCATTTTCGTCAGAATGTTAAAATATTACAATTTTTTTTTTGGAAAATGCTCAATAATATAGCATTACACTGGAAAATGTAGCATTTCACCAAATTACACTAAAAAGTATCACAATTATCACATTTTTTGGAAAATTCCACATTACATTAAATTATACTGAAAAATGTGGCACTATACTAAATTATGTGGAATTGCACTAAAAAATACTACAATTACACTAGACAATGTAGCATTACACTAAAAAAGTACCACAATTATCATATTTTTTAGAAAATTTCACGTTATACTGGAAAATGTAACATTATGCTAGAAAATGCGGAATTGCACTAAAAAATGCGGAATTGCGCTAAAAAACACAAAAAAAATACTACAATTACACTGGATAACGTAGCATTACACTTAATTACATTAAAAATTGTTATGATAATTTTTATTTATTTGTAAAATTACGGACATTATTAAATTTATAATATTTATATTCTAACGCATTATTTAACATTAAACACATTGTTAATATTAACAATGTATCAACACGATGCATGTGTTGTGTTGTTGTTTAATTTAATACTAAACCTTACTACTGAAGACTTCCTCTTTTTGTCACTATAAACAGGCGGAGGGAGCAGCAATGGCTCTCCCCCTATAGGTACTTTATGGCCTCTACCTATTTATAGAGGAGGGGCTTTTCGTAAAGTTATTAGATAGATATATATATATGTATATATATAAATATATATATACATCTATCATAATTAAATTAAAATTATAAAAAAAAAAAAAAATAATTTCGGGGAAAAAGCCCCTATTTATATAAAATTATGTATCACGTGTATCACGTGATATTACTTAATAATTACCGCAGCTTCAGCTGCGGTATAGCGAAAAAAAATTAAGCTTTTTTTAGTAAAAAGCTTAATTTTTTCTCACGATCTTTCAATTTCAACTTCTTTTTCTCCCCTTTCCCATTTCGTTTCCCTCCTTTCCCTCTTTCGTTCTCCTTTTTCCCATTTCATTTTCCCCTTTTCCATTTCGTTTCCCCTCTTTCCTTCTTTCGTTCTCCCCTTTCCCTTTTCTCCCTTCTCTTTTCGTTCTCTCTCCGCACTTTTCCCTTCCCTCTTTTTCTCCCTTCCCCCTTCCTTTTTCCCTTCCCGGAATCGTCTTTCAGTAAAAACGAAATGGTAAGTTTTGAAGCGAAATGCTTCGAAACTTTTTTAAAATTTTTTTTTTGATTTTTTGTTGTAAGGAAACGTTTCTAACATTTCCTTTCTTTTTTAGGACTTTCGACCTCGGAATTTGTAAACGGTTAGTTTCGAAGTTTTTCAAAACTTTTTTTTGTTTTTTAGGAAACTTTTCTAACGTTTCCTGTATTTTCTTTTTTTTGTAGGTCTTTCGGCTTGTTTCGTTCAATTCGGAATATTGAAATCGGTAAGTTTTGAGGTATTCGCCTCAAAACTTTTTTAAAAAAATTTTTTCTTTTTTTAGGAAACATTACTAATGTTTCCAATAATTTCTTTTTTTATAGGTCTTTTTGGCGTACTTGACTTAGGAAAATGAAATGGTAAGTTTTGAGGCGTTCGCCTTGAAACTTTTTTTTCTAAAATTCTTTTTAGGAAACATACTGACGTTCCCTTTCTTTTTTTTTGTAGAATTTCGGCGTTTTGACTTTGGGAAACGGGGAATGAAATGATGGTAAGTTTCAAAGCGTTTTGCTTCGAAACTTTTAAAATAAATTTTTTTTTTTGCTTGTTATAAGGAACGTTTTTAACGATCCTTTATTTTTTTTGTGTAGGTCTTTCAGTATACTTCTTTGGGACTCGAAATGGTAAGTTTCGAAGCGTATGCTTTGAAACTTTTAAACAATTTTTTTTAATATTTTAGGAAACATTAACTAACATTTCTTTATTTTACTTTTTGTAGGTTCTGGATGTTAGAATGGTGGAAACGACCGGTAAGTTTCGCAATGTTGCATTGCGAAACTTATTTTTTTAATTTTTTTTTTAAAGAAATGATACTAACGTACGTTTCTTTTACTTTTTATAGGTTAAACACTGAAGCTATGAGGGAAATTTATAAGGAATTATGTAAGAAATGTTTTACGTGTTTCTTCTGACTTATCAGGGCAAGGGAAAACTGAATGGATTAAAGAGAATAGTTTCAGTAAAGGGAAATTTATACACAGCTTTTTAATAAGTGATGGTACCGGACGTTTGAATAATGGAAATCAAAACGAACCAGTAAGTTTCGCAACATTGTGTTGCGAAACTTAATTTTTTATTTTTTTTTATTAAAAGAAATATTAACTAACGTTTCTTTTTTACTTTTTGTAGGTTCCAGACGTTAGAATGATGGAAACGAACTGGTAAGTTTCGCAATGTTACATTGCGAAACTTAATTTTATTAAATTTTTTTTTTTAAGAAACGTTAGCTAACGTTTCTTTTTTTTTTTAGGAACGCCGGACAAAATTACGACCCGGACTTTAGGTGAAAGGTAAGTTTTTCATTTTTTTTTTTGTATTTATTTATTAAATAACTTTTTTTTACGAAACGTTAATTAACGTTTCAGTTTTTTTTATAGATCACGGCTTTGCTTCAAGGACAAGATTTCAAAGGTATTACCTTTGAAATCAATTTTATTTTTTTTTTGTTTAACGAAACGTTAGTAAACGTTTACTAGCGTTTCATTTATCTTCTTTTTTTAGTTCATTTTCCGGTCACCTTCTAGAAGAATTTTGAAGGTAAATATAAGAACCTTCAAAATTCTTTCATTTTTTATTTTTTTTTTATTACAATGAAACGTTTACTAACGTTTCGGTTTTCACTTTTTAGGTTCCAGGGCACCATTTCAACATTTCGAAGGTATTAGAACTTCAAAATTATTGGATTTTTGTTATGTAATGAAACGTTATTTAAAGTTTTGTTTATTTTTTGTTTTTTTTGTAGGTTAAAGGAATGGAAAAAATGAAAAGGAACGGGGGAAAACGAAAGGGGAAAAGGAAAACGAAAGGTAAAGGTAAAGACGAAAGGGGAAAGAGAAGATGAAAGAATTTGAAAAAGAAAATGAAAAGGGAAAGAGAAAGGGAAAAACGAAATGGAGCGGGAACAAAATGAACATTTCGAAGGTATACTTCAAAATGTTTTTTTTATTTTGATTTTTTTCAATGAAACGTTTCTAACATTTTTTTTCTTTTTTTTTTGTAGGTTTTCACTGGCTTCTATTTCGGCACTGGACATTTGATACATAAATAAATTAGAGGTGTGGATTATCCATGAATGGAACATCAGATATCTAATGAATATAGACCAATATAGATTCTCATCGCTAAATAATAATTGTGTATTTTTTAATAAATAATATAATAAATTATAAATTATGTAAAATTATTAAATCAGTGTTTTAAATTGTCACAGCATTTACACTAAATTGTTTAAAATTATTACTAAATTTCACTCAATTGTCCAAAATTATTGCAAAATTATCTCCGTAAATGTTGCATTTATACCGTTTACACTCAATTGTCCAAAATCGGTAAAATATTTTCACTTAATTGTCTGAAATTATCCTAAATTCCACTAAATTATTCAAAAATTTAGCTAACATTTACCGAAAAAATGCAAAATTCACCACAATTTGCATTACATTTGCATAACATTGCCGAAAAAGTCACCTAAATTTTCAACAATTTCATAACATTACTAAAAATATATTACAATTTACCACAATTTGCATTACGTTTGCATAAAATTACTAAAAATTTACTTAAATTCACCACAATTTGCATTACGTTTACATAACATTACTAAAAATTTGACTAAATTCACCACAATTTGCACTTCGTTTACATAACATTACTAAAAATTTAACTAAATTTCACTACAATTTGCATTACGTTTGCATAAAATTACTAAAAATTTAACTAAATTCACCACAATTTGCATTACGTTTACATAACATTACTAAAAATTTAACTAAATTCACCACAATTTGCACTTCGTTTACATAACATTACTAAAAATTTAACTAAATTCACCACAATTTGCATTACGTTTGCATAAAATTACTAAAAATTTAACTAAATTCACCACAATTTTCATTACGTTTGCATAAAATTACTAAAAATTTGACTAAATTTACTGAAAAATTTCTCAACATTTGAATTAGGAATTCTGTAGGAATTCCGCCATTTTGATAAAATTTGCTAAATTGTAAGACCTCCATTATCCCAAAATTGTAACACAATTTACTCCAATTTACCGGGATAATTCTCAATTTGCCAGAAAAATTCCAGGCAAATTTTGCGACAATGACATCTGTTCGACCTGTGTGGAGGTGGAAGCTGGAGTATAAGGTGTACTAGTTTTAGACATAGTGTTACGTTTTTATAGGGATATTTGGCTCAGATAAAAAAAATAGTGTTACTTTCTGGAGTGAGATAAAATTTATTTCTGGGATGGGAAAGAGAATACTGGCCATTAATATAGGTTTTTATGTAACACAGGCATTGCATCATTGCACGTGACCCTTTCTCATATACGTTCGATAAAATAATACTTTATTTATGAAATAAAATAGTTGCCGGTAGCCGGCCTACAATACATAAAAATTGTGACTATACTTCGTGGCTCAGGCCTATCGCTAATGAAATATAGATAAAAAAATCTAATTATCTTTGCTTAGTACCTCCGGCACCCTTTCAGCGGGAGGGTATACGATAACATTGATTCCCTTTTCACCACCAAAGATACGTTGGGGTTGTATAGGAAAATGAGTAAAAATGGTGTCTTGCAGTTCCATTCTTATTGCACCTTTTACTTCAAATTCACTGATGTTTCTTAAGCTATTGATTATAACACTATCAGCTATAAATGCAACCCTATATAAAGCCAAATTGGTCGAATCTATATCTTGAAATTGATCTAGACGACGAGTTCTGATTGCCTCTGCGAGAGAAGAGACTCTATTGTTGTTAGCATTAGATATCGTTACTTTAAAAATATCATTCACTCCCTTGTCAAAAATGAGACAGTTGAGAGTAATATCCCCACCAGCGAGAAACTTGTTAAGCTTGTCAGGAGTCTTAGTTTTATTAGATTCCTTGGTCTTATCGGACATCTTGCTTTCCTAAATACAAGGTCCATAGTGAGAAAACTCGCTCCTATACATACATAACTTCTAGCATATACATACCTTATTTTGCGTTATTTTACGGGAAAGTTTTTTGCGGAAAGTTGGCTGAACTTCCACATACCCCTACATGCTTTATATCTTGCTGGGAAAAAGAGCGCCAAGCCGAAGTTAAGGAAGTATGAGGCGTAATTAGTATTGTTGTCTGATGCCAAGAGTCCTTTGAAAGCACATGCAAATGGAATCTTCATACCTTTTCACATGGAGATCTACCAGAGATAAAGATATTAGCCTTAATTATTTTTTAAAAAATTTTGAATTACGGCTATAAGATTTTTATAGCCTTAATTAATTACAGCATATAAAAATTTTGTATTACGACACTTTTTTGAATTACGGCTAACATCTTTAACCGGAGAGACGCAAAGGTAGTTAGTTCTTGTAGATCTCGAAATTTCAAAGTCCTCAGCCTTTCATAACATATGCTTTTGTCGTCACTATTAACTTATAGGGTAGGTACTGTGTTGCATGTAGACCTCCTTTCAAGCGAAGCGCCTATGAAGCAGGCCATTTTTCTCATGTTTGTTCAGGGAAAAATAGAGGTACTAGTTAGCATACATAACTCAGTATGTAAAGAAATAATGTTTTACAAACTGACCGTGTGATTGGCCATTACATCATTGCACAGAAATCTATGGCTCAGCAAATTCTTCCGAGCTGAAGATCACCGCTCCTGACTAGTTAGATTGGTAGTGTACCACCCCGCCATAGAGAGTCTTGTTAATTCCAGATTAAGAAAAGCAGAAATAAAATTATTATTAGAGAATCCAGATTGGGTCGAAATCTGTACATTACTAACCTGTCTAAGACAATCACTAAATGCAGTAATAAAATCAGGCGCATTTTCCTTTTCAGCTTGAATAAGCATTTCTACCATTTTATCAGGATCAAGATCGTGACTATAATAACATCCAAATCTTTCGATATACCTTTGACTTTCTGATGACAATCCTTTATGGAATATTTCTCTAAGATGATTTTTACAGAACTTGATAACATCATTACATCTCTTTATCTTCGAGTAATAATCCACTATTGAGTCTTCACCTTGAAGCAATAACCCATACCAGAACTTATCTACTTCATCTGCATTATCATCTATCTTAATCTCATTTTTATCAATACCATCCGGCCATATTTCCTCTCAAAGTTCCTCAGCACTATATGGCAATTCTATTAGGTTCAAAATTTGCGGAAGATAAAAAGCATCAGATTGTGTAAATGTATGGAGTATTGATGTTGGATTTCTTACACCAGGCAGACTATATACAAATTATTTAAGTATTTTCTCCCCCAATGCCTGATTGCCTTTGTCTTCCAATAAATTTTGATTTCGCAAAATAGATCTTCCCAGTCTTGCCACTCTGATATAAATTCAGGATTTCCTTTATTATCCCATTCATACTTTGATCCATATTCTTTGATAAATTCATTGTAGCCTTCATCTGTCTCGTCATCTGACATTTTGCTAATAGAGCAATTATACTTAATAAAAAATAAAGTACTGGTAGTGTGCATAGCTTCTTTTCAGTATATGCAAAAATTATGTTGCACATGACCTGACTGATGATCCACTTATTTTTCTGTCACACAGGAGTGGCCCAGCAAATTCTTCCGAGCTGATGATCATCACTCCAGACGAAAAAATAGCAATGCACCTTCGGTGAAATTATGTGATCACTGCTCCAGACTACAGTGGATCAGAAAACCTCTGCATAGTAGAAGGCATTGTGTTAAACTAGCAAATTTAATAACTATACATATTGATAATTTCAGATATTTCATCATTTTCTGTAGACTCCGATTTTAGGTCTGAGTTATGCTCATCTTCAGGTCCGGAGTCTTCTAATTCTGTATCGCCTATAGTATAATTATCACCTGCATCAAGACGGTCAGATTCTTGCCTCATTGCGATTCTCAAAAGCAATTTAAGATGTTGGGGGGTTGGATTTTTGCCACCATGAACTCTGGAAGCATGTTTAAATCCATAATCTCTTAAATTTTTAGGTATGGTTCTATAAGGTTCTTGCTTCAAGAATTCATTAAATGGCCAAGCACTACGTGTCCCACTTTCAGTAAAGACAGGGTCAGATAACTTTTTAGCCTTAATTGTATCTTGAATCCAGGTAAGCAATTCTCTTGCGCGTTCTGGATTCTTTTCCATAGAAAGAAGTGGACAAGGGATTCTTCCATCTGCCTTCTTATATCCTGTACAATACCAAGAATATCCCTCTTTATACCATGCTGGAATATTCGAAAGATCAATCCCAAGTAGTTCATCTGGCTCATAGTGCTTAATTTGAAGAGATGTTACTTCTGAAGGTCTTATACTCAACATCACTATCACATCTGCAAGATCCTCTCTAGTAGGAATTTTACTAACATCCATATTTTGGATCCTCTTTTGCACATTTGCTAAGGAGAAATGTATGGGAATTCTATCTGGATTAGCCATTCGCTTCTTAGTTCGCTTTTTTTGAATTTTGTTAGAGTCTTGAATAAGTTCCTTATCTTTGGCAAATGCTTCAATAATTGCAGGATCTACACCGCCTTCTGCTAACTTCACACGGAATGTTGACTGACGTGAAACACCGGCAACGATTTCCTTTTCATTTTTATTTTTCGGACTCACTGCCCAATGATTAGCGATAATGTTAACAAAATCACCGGCCTTAGCACAATATTCTGCCCTTCCTTCTATAGTGAGGTTTTTCTTTCTCTTATCTGGTAGGAGAGCCTCTATTTTCTCTTTACTAAATGAATGTTTAGGTTTAGCAAGAGCTACCTTAACACATCTACGGGCCATCCAATCTGGAAGTAAAGCATCTAGTTCGGGAGCATGTTCGCTCAATTGTTCTGGAATGGAGCTAGCCGACAAATTACATTTTTCCAGGAACTGCTCTAAGATGCTGACATAGTTATTAGTTTTAGGTTTTCGAGTCTTTAGAGCGGTTGCTTTAGTAGCCATGTACATACTAACTGTTATCTAGGTATATTATGTGAGAAAAAATTCAATTCGAAAAATTATATCCCACCTGGCTGAAAGTGATTTGCATGAGCATTTCTCTGATTATAACTTGGGAGATATGACCTGCTGAGACATCGCATTTTTGAATATCTATAATAAAAGTGAAGACGAAGTTTTAAGAATATTAATATCAAAATTACCTTGTATGGGTCGTTTTATTTGCCAATACATCAAGAGAGATGGTTCGATTTGTGGGAAAGGGTGCATGAGTGAATTAGGGTGTGCCAGACATTTTAATGCCCTTTCTAAAACAATATGCCCTATCTGTGGGCAGGGAACCTATTTCAAGACCGGAATCTGTAGTACACATGGTGGAATTTATGACTATGCCTGGCGCGAAAGTAAAAAAACTGAAACAAAATCTAATATGGTCAAGACTTAACTGAATAACTATCTGTGCTGAAATATTATTTGTCCTGCCCTATAGAATCAAAGAGTTCCTGAATATCGTTATCTGGTTTTGGCCTATATGGTGGAAGTTCTGGTGCATCTTTATCTCCAAAACCAGTACTGTTATATGGCTGGCGATTAATTCGATATGAATATTACCTAACTTGTTGTCCTTTAGGCCCTATTCTTTTTTTATCACTTTTTTGCATTGATTGCCTTTATAGCTGAATTAAGATCTGGTGTTGTCTTAGCATGAGACTTAAAGCCAAAGAGTGATAAAAACTGATTTCGAATTTCTATAAATCTTTCACAGGATTGCACGAATGCTTCTGATACAATATTACCAGGAAGGATACGTTTATCATCAATGCTGGTAAAGCCTAATATTTGAAAGAGTTCTCTTATAGCCTTCCAATGATTTGCTGAATAAGATTTACGCAAGTCTTCTGCCACTGATTTTTCCAGATTCTCTTCAGCTTTATGGCAGGCCATTTCCCATTGTACATTTTCCTCAGTTTTCAATCCCTTCATTGCATTCTTCTCATCATGACCTTGCCTTCGGAAATAAGACAATTGTAAGAAATGCTTCTGAGCTTCAGGCGAACTAAAATTTTTAACGAATTTTCTATTGCAAATATTATCCCAATCCTCAATACTCATGTCTTTGCAATAAATATTTCGCATATAAAAACGTTAAGTACTATAGTATCTGCGATAGAGTGCTCTTGGTCGAATTTAAGGTCTTTAAGGCTAAGATTTTGAGAAGTAGCAACTGCATTAAAATCCGTTTCTTTAATAACTAATGCTAACCTCATTATGGATTCTTTTACGGTTCCCTATAACTCCTCGACTTTTATACATTTTTATTAGTTAGAGAGAAGCGCCAGTACTAGCTATAAGACTACAAAGCTTCTCAATAAAGTATCTCGCAGAAAGGCGTTTCTGATGCTTAACTTCAATAAATATTATTACAGCTGGAGATTCATCAATTTTATAAGAAATGGTATTGTTATCCTATTTACGATGACCTTTTATTGCTGTAGGTAAGTTATTAGGCCGAGCACTTTCAAGTTCTGCCCTAATATTTTCACGACCTGATGGGCAAAAAAGTTCGTTAGAATTTTTCTGATAGAATATAGAAACAATACGGCGAGAACAATCACGAATTCAATAAAGCATTTGTGCAAAAGCTTCGACATGAACTGGAGTGGCGATGTTTGTAATAGCTATAACTATATCGAAGTGACCTGTAACCTCGAATGATATTCCTGCCTCCATTATATTTGTATAAGCTATACAGTCAAGCTCACTCCAAGCGACATTAATATCAGAAAAGTCTTTTTGACGTTGTTTTCCATCCATATCTCCATAATAAGCACAGGCTCTAACAGGCGAATTATCAGGTTTAGACAACTTAGATGCTTTTTCCACTAACGCTCTAGCTATCACCACTCCGGTAAATACAAATGCCACACGCTTACCCTGCCTCAAAAGGTCATATCCTATTCGCATAACTTCTGCTCCACTATTTGAATCATAAATAAATTCAACCGTCTCACCTATACGAGGCTGATACTTATTATCGACTACGCGAATATTTTCACCACAATAAATCTGGAGGAAGGTTAGTGTTGAGATATTTGCGAAGGCATCTATGGCCAAAACATGCATTGCAGATCTTAAGACATCACGCATTGCGTTTTCAGATTCCCGTGCATTTGTACCGCTAAACATTTGGCGCATAATGGCATTAGATTCATCGAGAATAGCTACAAACGGACGGGCTGTGAATTCGACACGAAAGAGGCTTTCAACCTGTACTATGATAATATCCCACTCATTTATAGATAAGTCTCCTTGCATATTTTGGTAGTTGCAAATTTGGAAGCCAGATGCTTTTAACTCATTAAGTTTGGATTTTGATTCATTGCTAAGAGACTTTCGGTAAAAGATCCAGATATAACATGGTAAAAAAGAAATATCATGTACTTTATCTTTCAATGCCATAATAATCTCTCTTAATGTAGTGGTTTTCCATGTCCTCAGAGGAGAACGAATAAGTGTTGTCATTTTCTCAATACCCAAGAAATCAGAATATACTTCCAAAGCATCCTTTAATTTTTCTACATTAATTGCCATTTCTGATAATTCTATAAGAGGGCGTGGATTTGATATAGCATCACCTATTCTTTCGACTATTCCTCTCTTAGGTTTTGTAGAAATTTCAGTCACTTTTCCAAATGCTAATCCCTTATGATCTGGCTTATATTGATTTTGCTGATAGCATTTAAGTACAAAATGGCCGTTACTTCGAAGAAAGCTATATAATTGATCTCTTTCATGTTTGATTCCGCAAATAGGACATGCTTCATATAACTTTGCTTGGAAGTTGACAAATCCCTTTTTAATATGGCCAATTTCAAGCCACTCATATTTTGCTGTAACTAAACCAGCTCTCTTGCTTAAAGCGGTTTCATCTTCGATAGGTTGGAATTCATCCTTTTCTAGCTTTTCAGAAGAAAAGGTCTGTTGCCAGATTTCAGAATAATCAGATTTAGGTTGAACTAAATAATCTTCTAGCTTGTGATATCCTTGTTTAACTGAAGAAACCACGGGTCTTTTAACTCTATCTTCCTTTGCCGATCCAAGAAGCTGAAGACTAAAACGTGATTTATAAAGTCCAAGGTCAATAAATTCAGAATATGGTTTTCCAATCTTATCAGCAACTTTTTTCACAAATCCTCTAAAGTCTCTGTAGTCAACGAACCGTGCATATTTATACATGATATGCCAGCTACATTTATCAGAATTAGACGAACTGGCTAAGGCAAAAGCATCTAATATTGCAAAATGTTTTAAGTCAAAATATAAGATATCGGTGCAGGCAATTAAGATTCTGGATAATAAATCTTCACGAGAACTTTTACTTCCATCTAAGGAAGGGAGTTCAGGATTCATAGGATTGGGGTTCTGCCTCGCATCAATATCCAGAACCAGACAGAGAGGCAGATTCCCATCAATGCACTCGTGAGTATCAGGAATCCCATAAATTTCAGATGGATGATCAACTATCGTAAAACCCTTTTCTGACACTCGAACTATATATTTTGAATAAATCTCTTCAGGATGATAGGCTTCTAGAAGAGAAATATCATTTTTATTATTGGACAAATATTGAAAATACACATGATCATTGTAACCAGGCTCAAAATCAAGGTCGGCTAAACCAGAGAAGAGCCTGGTTGCATCATTTATTGTTTTAGGGCTAGAGCCGGGTTTTTTTTGCGCAAGAAGCATGGTGTATGTGCAAGAAAGCAGTATAAAATAACAGAGAAACTTGGAAAGTTTAAAATAAAAATTTTATATAATTTTGAGCGAATATGCTTGCTAGTAAAATACTGGGTTAGTGGTATTACCCAGCGCCAAGCCAAGAGAAAGTAAATGATGTGGTAGTACCCCAAATTGATCGATGTGGTAGTACTTCAAAGTGGTCGATGTGGTAGTATCCTAAAGTATCCCAGAGTAGTAACTATACGTGAAAGGGTTCTAGAAAGGCAGAAGCGAAAAATAAAATATAAAATTGGTAGTACCCCAAGTTAGAATAATATATAGGAAAGAGAAATAAGAAATTACAACTTGGGGTACTACCGCCGATAGGCAAAAAAGGGGTCAGGAAGGTGGAAAGTCTCAGGAGAATATACAAAAAAAGGTATAAAAGCAATATAGCCTGAAATAATTCAACACTTCGCATGTGCCTCACTCAGCAATCAAAAAGGTCATACAAGGCGGAATTGCAAGAATGGGCATAACACTAACACTTCGCATATGCCTCATCCCCGGCATTCAAGAAATGGCAATTTGAGAGGGAAAATATATGGATTGCAAGTTCGGCACTTCGTGCCTCAACCTGGCAATCGAATGGGAACATAAAAGTATGATTGCAAGTAAGTTCGGCACTAATTCCTGGTAATTACATAGGCTGATCTTGGTACTTCCGATTCTTTAACCATCTGATCCTTCAGACAGAACCTCGAAAGTAGTGGGAATGTGACGGAGAAGTGGTGGGAAGGTTCTGGGAACGCACCTCGCACATGTTTTTTTTGCGCAGTAAATTAACAATAATTTTGGCCAAAACTTTGGACAATAACTCGGCATCCAAGAAGTGATCTTAAACTGGCAAACTAATAGAAACACTCTGATTTCCTACCAGTTCCCTGCCAGTTCCATGATGATTCCATGACACTACTACAGCACTATCATGTCACCAAGCTGGAACCTAAAATCACATGCTCAAAAGATCAACCAGAAATTATGCCATAATGCCAGCCAAAAACTGATCCGCAAATTTACTGCGCCACCTGACTGCAACATGATTTTTTGCAATCAATACTGGCCTAGCATCTTGGCAATAAAAAGGCCATAGAGCAATGAAAACAAGCGGATAGTTAGAAGGAAATAAAAAGAGGACAGAGCAATAAAATTAAGTGGATAGCAATAAAGCAATAATAAGACCACAGAACACTAAAAACAGTAACTAGGTAACATTATACTCATAACTAGAAAACATTATACTCATAACTAGATAACATTATAGCGCAACTAGTTAACGCTCTTATAAGAGCGTTAACTAGTTTAGTTAACTAATTGTACCTATGAATTACCAAGCTATAAATAGGTTCTTAAATGTGAACCTTTACCCTAAGTCAAATACAAAGACAAATCAGCCCATATGATTTATAATTTTTATTAATTATTATTTTATTTATAATCTATATATTTTTAATTATAAATTATAAAAATTGACAGTTTAATTTATATTAAATCGTGATCCATGAATGATCGACATCAGATCATATGATTTGTATATAGTAAATTTGGGGTTAAGATATATAATAACTAGCTATAATAAATTTAAATCTCTCATTGACAACCTTTAACAACCATCAAAATGGTTCAAAATTTACGCGTTACTTTAATAAAACCAGGTTCTATAGTCTCTGAGCTTCACTATGGGCCTTATTCATTTTATTGGTGGATATTTTCAGATGAAAATAAAACTTTATTTCTGATTAGGCTGGGACAACAGACTAAAGTTCACATTAATGAAGTAAACTTTATTTTAACAATACAAACCGGTTCTGATAATAGCAAATTAATGCCAATGTACTACTGTCAAAGTGGTTTGCATGTCGTTACAGAGTCAAGTTCTACAAAGGCTATTTCTACAGCTTACAAGAACCATTTTAATACTTCAACACGCTATCCAGGATATCAAGCAATGGGTTGGAATGACAAAAATATTCTTGAAATTCTAAAAAAAGATGTTGATTATATTCCTGTTACTGTTAATGTAGGAAACTGTAAAATTTTTATTTATAGTATGAGGTCGTCATCACATAAAAAATGGTGTTATGCGGGTTCAGGTTTTCAATCATCCCTTCTTCATAGATATGAAAAAAAACAATCAATTTTTGTATCATGAATTGAAGAAAAGAGATGCATTGTTGAAATTTACCGAGATTCCACCTTAATAAAACAATTTATAGGTAAAACACCAGATGAGGCGTAGGGAAAATCAGGACAGCTAGAAAAATTTGCTGGTATACAACTTTTTGGTCTTGATAATCCGATTACAACAAATCTAATTCAACAGCATCGAATACCTAAATGTACTCTTGATGACTGGAATAATGAATATATTCTAGAAAACTTATTTGATTATTATGTGAAAAGAAGAACTCTAGCAAATGCTAATTGGAAATATTTTTTTACAAATTAAGCTGAATCTGAAAATCCAATAATTGACTTTGAACCTTCTTTACATGCTATATACCCAAAAGGATATGAATTTAGTGAACGTGAATTGGGTGCATGGCAAACTATGCTAAAAGCAGCTGGTGCAACAAATATAACTCCTTAGTCATATGAAGAATCACAGGTCGGTAAATATGATATTTTTTATTATTTTTTTTTATTCAAATATTAAAATGAAACATTCTATATTAGCATCAATTATGGATGAAATCACCAAATGGAGAAGCAGATAAAGTAGCAATTGCTGCTTTATACCAAAGTGGTTTCCTTACCAGTACTCCAAAAATAATGTCAAATGCAACACAAAAATTTTGGATGTGTTTTGAACGTGCACTTGCCAACAATAAAAAAACTTCTGATAGAAAACGACGTATACTTTCTATAATTTCCAACGAATTTACTTATGAAGAATTAAAACAAAATTTGAATATAATATAATTTTGCTTTATTTACGTGAAATTTTAATGTACATATTTTTTTTGAAAATTTTTTTATTTTAAAATTATGTAAATAAAATATTATACGAAAAAAAAAGAAAATTTTATGAAAATTATACAAATACAATAATTTTTACATCTTATTTATAATGAATATATACAGGTTGGTTCACATACTATTGTGGAATCTCGCAAACATGTACGTATCAATGGTTATGGAGCTCCTTCACTTGTAAAATGCTTGAACAAATTGACAGATTTTTAAATGATAAAGAATTTGTTAATATGAGTTCATACAAAACTGATGCCAAATCAGGAAAACTAATCAAATACTTATAAGATACTAAAAAACGTTATGGGAAAGATTTGTGAAAGAATATTCTAATGGTATGCATCGTACATCAATTATGACTTGTCTTGAAGGTGGCCAATATGTATATCAAAAAAATTTAGGTGGTTTATGTTCCATATGTAATGTCTGCGGCTATATAGTATTTGGAGATATTGGAGTAATAATTTCTGCTTACGTTATATTATGGATGAATCTTTAAAGGTACAAATAAAATTTACTAAATTTGCAAGCATAATTATAAAATCTAACGTAATTTTAATTATATTAGAAACATTTACTAACAAAATCACAAGAATTGAGACGATACATATGTTGAGAATATTTAAAAGAACTGGTAATTACAGCATCTGGTATTGCAGTTCATAATTCTTGTATTAGTCACTGTATACTGCATGCTTTTGGAGACTGTAATCTTAATCATCCGGTTACCTATTCAAAATGTGAAAGTCTTTTCAGTTTTTTTGAAAAACTGAAAACAGCAATAAGCGAAGAATATTTTGAAATTCTTGATGAATATCAGCAAAAACTTATAGCATGGATGGCACATCATGCGCGTAAAATATACCTGAATATTCATATGTGAACAAATTTAGAAGAATTGGATGAAGAAGGTGCTGTAATGATTGTAGATTACAAAATGAGAATATTGCCTCAAAGTGCACAGGAGACTAAAACAGAATTTTTTGGAAAACGTGGTTGGAGTTTTCATTCTGTTCTCATATATACCAAAAATGCAGAACAAAATCAACTGGATATTCAAGTATTTGATCATTGGTCCAATGACACGCGTCAAGATGCGTAGTTTACTGCATCTTCACTTCATACTGTAATTGAAACAATGAATCCAAAGCCAAAATGGATAACAATAATGTCTGATAATGGAATGCACTACCATTGCACAGAATTAATGTTGATTATTGGACATTGGAAGGAGTGGTATGATATAACACCTTGCAAATAGATCTTTCTTGAAGCTGGAGAAGCTAAAACTGCGATTGATTCGCATCATGCGCAGGTGCATTCAACTATGTTATCACCTTGAAAGTCAAAGATAATACTGATTGGTCAAATTCATTGGTAATAAGGTTTCGCAAGCAATAAAAAGATACATAAAACTTGGATATGATGTTGATTGTGGAGATAATATCAAATCAGCAGTAAAAGATATAGCAGGTGTCCGAGTTGCTAATTTGAATCCTAATAGAAATAATGGTAACATAAAACTCTAATTATTATGTTGTCAACCTTGAAATAAATCTAATATTTTATCAATTTAGATAAAACAAAATTAAGTACCATTACGGAAATATCCAATCTGCAAGAATGGACATAGCCCATGAATGAAGAAAAACACAGGTCGAAGGGGCACCATTGTCCAAAATTCAAAAAATGCAAATTTCACATTTTTCTGGAAAATGGTGGGAAATTGTGGAAAATGCTGCATTACGCTGAGCAATTTTTTGGAATAGCATTTTTACAACATTGTTCGATTTAGCAAATTTTATGAAAATTTGGGAAAATGCTACATTATATCTCAAATGTAACATTTTGTAACATTTCGTAACATTGTTATAACATTGTCATTAAAATCAAATTTGCTTTTTTTTTGTCAAATGTTCCAATTTTCTTACAAATGGTGCATTTTTATGAAAATTCCACATTTTATCTCAAATGTAATAACATTTCATAAAATTGTTATAACATTGTCAATTAAAATTAAATTTTGCTTTTTTTTTGTCAAATGTTCCAATTTTCTTGCAAATGGTGCATTTTTATGAAAATGCCACATTTTATCTTCAATGTGATATCATTGTAACAACATTTCATAAAATTGTTGTAACATTATCAATTAAAATCAAATTTTGTCAAATATTCCGATTTTCTGGCAAATGGTGTTTTTTTTATGAAAATTCTATATTTTCTGTCAAATGTTGCATATTTTCAGCAAATTTTACGTTTTTTTGGCCAAATGTTTCATTTTTGTCAGAATGTTAAAATGTTACATTTTTTTTGAAAATGCTCAATAATATTGCATTACACTGGAAAATGTAGCATTTCACCAAATTACACTAAAAAGCATCACAATTATCACATTTTTTGGAAAATTCCACATTACATTAAATTATACTAAAAAATGTAGCACTATACTAGATTATATAGCATTACACTAAAAAATACCGCAATTACACTAGACAATGTAGCATTACACTAAAAAGTACCACAATTATCATATTTTTTAGAAAATTTCGTGTTATGCTGGAAAATGTAACATTATGCTAGAAAATTCAGAATTGCACTAAAAAATACCACAATTGCACTAGACAATGTAGCATTACACTAAAAAGTACTACAATTATCATTTTTTTTTTAAAAAATTTCGCGTTATACTGGAAAATGTAACATTATGCTAGAAAATGCGGAATTGCACTAAAAAACGCGGAATTGCACTAAAAAACACAAAAAAATACTACAATTATACTGGATAACGTAGCATTACACTTAATTACATTAGATAATTTTTATTTATTTGTAAAATTACGGACATTATTAAATTTATAATATTTATATTCTAACGCATTATTTAACATTAAATTCACATTGTTAATATTAACAATGTATCAACACGATGTGTTGTTTAATTTATACGAAACCTTACTACTGAAGACTTCCTCTTTTTGTCACTATAAACAGGCGGAGGGAGCAGCAATGGCTCTCCCCCTATAGGTACTTTATGGCCTCTACCTGTTTACAGAAGAGGGGCTTTTCGTAAAGTTATTAGATAGATAGATATATATGTATATATATAAGTATATATATACATCTATCAAAAAAATTATAATAAAAAAAAAAAATTTTTTCAGGAAAATGCCCCTATTTATACAAAAATATATATCACGTGTATCACATGATATTACTAATAATTACCGCAGCAGGCGCAGCTTCAGCTGTACCTGCTGCGGTATAGCGAAAAAAAATTAAGCTTTTTTAGCAAAAGCTTAATTTTTTTTTCTCACGTCCCCTTTCTTTCGACATTTCTTTCTCACCTTTCCTTTCCCCTTTCCCTTTCGTTCTCCCCTCCCTTTTCGTTTCATTTTCCCCTTTCCCCTTTTGTTCTTCCTCCCTTTTCGTCCTTTTCCCTTTCATTTTTCACTTTCCCTTTCCACTTTCTCTTTTCGTTCTTTTTTTTCCCTTCCCTTCCCCTTTTATCGTAAATTAGAAATATCAGAAATTTCCTTTCAGAAAAACAAAAGGGTAAGTTTCGAATCATTTCGAAACTTTAATATTTTTTTTTTATTTTTTAGGAAACGTTTCTAACGTTTCCTATATCTTCTTTTTTTTATAAGTCTTTTCGCCGTATTCAACTTGGAAAAACGAAATGGTAAGTTTCGAGGCGTTCGTCTCGAAACTTTTTTAAAAAAATAGTTTAATTTTCTATTTTTAGGAAACATTACTAACGTTTCCAATAATTCTTTTTTTTTTATAGGTTTTTTTGGCGTACTCGACTTAGGAAAATGAAAGGGTAAGTTTCGAGGCGTTTGCCTCGAAACTTTTTTTTCTAAATTGTTTTTAGGAAACATACTGATGTTTCCTTTCTTTTTTTTAATAGAATTTTCAGTGTTTTGGCTTTAGAAAACGAGAAACTGAAGGGTAAGTTTCGAAGCGTTTCGCTTCGAAACTTTTTAATTTTTTTTTTAATTTTTTGTAAGGAAACGTTTCTAAGTTTCCTTTTTCTTTTTGTAGGAATGCCAGACATTTGGATGATGGAATCGAAATGAACCGGTAAGTTTCGCAACGTTGCATTGCGAAACTTAATTTTATTAAATTTTTTTTTAAGAAACGTTAGCTAACGTTTCTTCTTTTTTTTGTAGATACACTCTGGGTTCCTTCCGATATTGGATTTCGGTTAGGTTTCGAAGTTTCGTTTCGAAACTTCGATTCTTTTTTTTATTTTTAAAAGGAACATTACTAAATACTAACGTCCTTTATTNGCGTAAAACCATTGTTGAATAGAAGCCATTACTTTCCGTTCAGGTATTGGATATGGCTTGGTAAGTTTCGTATATTTTGTTATGAAACTCCTGTTTTTTCTTTAAGAAACGTTCTAACTGAACAGTTTTCTTTTTTTGTAGATTATTGTAATGAAATAACAAAAGTAAACAGTTCTTTGGCTCCTTGCTTGGTGAGTTTCGAAGATTAACCTTCAAAACTTTTTGTTTTTTTTATTTTTGTTTTTCTTTAACATTATTGTACCTGTCTCTTATACACATCTAGATGTGTATAAGAGACAGGTTTTAACGTTTCTTTTACTTTTTTTTGTAGGTTCCAGTGCTCCAGGATTCTGAAACGGAAAATGTAAGTTTCGTTTTAATGAAACTTATTATATTTTATTTTTTTTTTAATTAAGAAACGTTCTTTAACGTTTCTTTTACTTTTTTTTGTAGGTTCCGGTGCTCCAGGAGCGTAAATTCATTAGACTATACCTGGAATAAACCAACACTAGATTATTAGGTCTTTTTAAAAATGTTAAAAGACCTGTGAGAACGCCAAGTTTCAGCATGAATATTCATTAATGACTCTCCTCGATTCCGAAACGGAATAATGTAAGTTTCATTTTAGCGAAACTTATTATATTTTTATTTTTTTTTAAATAAAGAAACGCTCTAACTTTTTTTTTACTTTTTTTTTGTAGGTTCAAGTGCTCCAGGATTCCGAAACGGAAAAATGTAAGTTTCGTTTAACGAAACTTATCTTTTTTGTTTTTTTAATTAAGAAACGTCCTAACGTTTCTTTTACTTTTCTTTTCTTGTAGGTCTCCAAGTCAGGTGTCATTGGAAAGTGAAAATGGTAAGTTTCGCAATGAAACTTGTCTCTTATACACATCTAGATGTGTATAAGAGACAGCATTTAAGTTTCGCAATGAAACTTACCGTGTTTTATTTTATTTTTTATTATTAGAAACATTTTTTAACATTTCTCTTTTGTTTTTTTTGTAGATTCGAGCGGGATACTTGACTTTGGTAAGTTTTGCAACATAAACGTTGCGAAACTTAATTTTTTTTTAATTTTTTTTTAAGAAACGTTCTAACGTTTCTCTCTTTTTTTGTAAATCGATTTTGGGAGTCTGATTGATCTGGAGTTCCCTCCCTCCAGTTTCAGTCTTGGGTTTGGATAATGTTTAGGTTTTAAAGTATAACTTCGAAACTTCAGTTTGAATGGTGAGTTTCGTGACAAATATCACGAAACAAGTTTTTTTTGATTTTTTTTATTAGGAACCGTTTACTAATGTTCTTTTTCTTTTTTGTAAGTTCGGGATATCTGGGAAGCTAACTTAGGAAACATGAATCGCGTAAAACCATTGTTGAATAGAAGCCATTACTTTCCGTTCAGGTATTGGATATAGCTTGGTAAGTTTCGTACATTTCGTTACGAAACTCCTGTTTTTTCTTTAAGAAACGTTCTAACTGAACGGTTTTCTTTTTTTGTAGATTATTGTAATGAAATAACAAAAGTAAACAGTTCTTTGGCTCCTTGCTTAGTGAGTTTCGAAGATTAACCTTTGAAACTTTTTGTTTTTTTTATGTTTGTTTTTCTTTAACATTATTGTACTTAATTACATATTATAATTGAAGAATTAGATAAATTGTTAATAAAATTAAAATCATAATAAATTGTTATAAAATTTGCATAAAATTACGCCAAATTGTTGCTTAATTATCACTCAATCGTTAGAAATTGTCTTAAAAATATTGCATTTGCACTCAATTGTCCAAAAATTTTCAAACCATTGTCACTCAATTGTTTAAAATTGTTAAAATTTTTCTAGCATTTGAAAGTTGAATTTTGGTAAAATGGTTCATTTTTCCAAAATTTGACAAAAAAAATGCACAATTTACCAGAATTTTCCTGGTAAATTGTGCAACAATGGAAAATTTTTATTTCAAATTTGCAATTTACGTATCATTACAAAAAATTCATCACAATTTACATAACATTGGCCTAATATTGCTAAAAATTCACCACAATTTGCACTTCGTTTACATAACATTAACTAAATTCACCACAATTTGCATTACGTTTGCATAAAATTACTAAAAATTTGACTAAATTCACCACAATTTGCACTT